AGCTTACTTAATCCTTTATTTTCCATTACTAATATTAAAAAAGAGGTAAAAAAGATGATAAATATATTATAAATAACGTCAGGTACTCTCCCGTGCTTAATTTTTTGCACGTTGAATTAATTAATGTAACACAAATTTATTCAAAAATAATCACGTGAAAGTCACGGGCATGCATTTAGAAAGGGTGGTTTTATATGAACGGGGATGGGAGAAGACCGTGCAGTGCAGAGTATGGAGGGTGTGTATTTATCTCTAATTCCTGAGGTTGGGAATGAGACATAGTGTGCATTTATGGAGGGATGCATTTATGGAGGGTGCACTTATGGAGGGTTCACTGTATATAAATGAGTTCCTTTTTATTATATAGGATAATTCGATATTACTTGATAATAATAATGATGACTGAATTTTGAACCCTGAAATCCTTGGTAATACAAATGTTCATTTGTTGCAAGCATGTCCCATATAAAGAATGTTACCAAACTACCCCCGTATTTATTCAATTTCAAATTGCTCTAAAATTGGAAATGAAAACCTAATTAGACAATGTAAATATAAATATTATTTATTATTAATAGGGAAATCTGTCATGGCTCATTTGTGGGATTTAATCAAGGTTGGGATATAAATAAGGGGGATATAAAAGAGGGGTTCCTCCCAATCAACCAACAGACATTATACCAACAGCCATTATACTGACTCCATTATACCAACAGGACGTTTTACCAACAGGACATTATACTGACAAGACATTATACTGACAGGACATTATACTGACAGGACATTATACTGACAAGTAATTTCATAGTGCAATTAATCAATCTAGCCATCTAATAAATGGCTTAACCACTTAAACAGCCTAGCTGTCTAATAAATGGTTTAACAGCTTGAACAGCTTAGCCAGCTAATAAATGGTTTGACAGATTAGCCGGCTAATCGGCTAACATCATCAGATATATTAATATATATTATATATGCCATTTATTAATATTAACAGATAATAATAATGAACTGATATGATTATGGTAGGAAAACAAATAAATACTGTCAACCTCCTCTAAGTGCACCCTCCTTGGGAACATATCATTATTTCTCATGAATGTGCATTTAGAGAGGGTGTGCATTTAGAGGGGATAATTTATAAGCTCACTATAAGTTTGGGAATGAGACATAGTGTGCATTTAGAGAGGGTTTGCATAGTGAGTGCATTTAGAGAGGTGCACTTAGAGGGGTTGACTGTGTTATGCTAAATTGATAGAATATATTAGAAAATGACTTGTTGGTATAATGTCCTGTTGGTATAATGTCCTGTTGGTATAATGTCCTGTTGGTATAATATCCTGTTGGTATAATGTCCTGTTGGTATAATGGAGTCGGTATAACGGCTGTTGGTATAATGTCTGTCAGTCAATTGGGGTAAACCCATAAAAGAGGTATGACTGTATACACCTTTTTTCTATTTTAAAATAATTGAAAATTAATTGTTACACTACATAAATTATTGAATGTCACATTTGTCACATTTGATCTGCAACAGTGTCCACTATGCTGGAAAATGGCTGATTCCCAAATATATGAATTCCCAGAATTTTATATAACAATCAATGATTATTACATGACTTTAAAAGCTTAAAAAAAGAAAAGGTAAAAGGTAAACTGATAGAATTAAATCTAAAGATCCAAGCTTTATTTACATCAGTTTATTTTGATTTATTGGAAAAGTTTCAAGTTATATGGTGCAGGACATCTATACTCATCAAAAACGTAGATCAGTCCGAAATTTTTAAATGATGATCTTGACTAAAATTGGGTTAGTGTTACTGTAATTAAAATTGTGATTTTATTTAATTCTTCTATAACTCCATCAGGTATTCTCCTATGAGTAGGGATGGGGGAGTTTTACTAAAAGCGGTTTGAAAGCGGTTTGGTTCGGTTTGGTTTGTGAAAGCAGTTTGAGCGGTTTGAGCGGTTTGAATCAGTTACACAATGATAAAAAAAGTGACACAAATATTTAATTAAAAAATATTATATAGAATACAAATAATTATGAAATATTAATATTAATATATTCTATTTGTAGTTGATTAAATGTAGCATTAGTGTTAGAGACTGGAGGATTCAAGCAAGAAAATACCCATGTGCACTTAAGCCATTAAATAAACGCATTATTTTATTTATTATTATTATTATTTATTGTTTATTGTTTATTATTATTATTATTATTACTATTATTGAAAAAAGAAATAAAATATATTTTGTATCCTAATTTCCTATTTTATTATCCTAATTTCCTATTTTATTAATAATCCAGCTCTTCAAACATAAGCATGCTCTTGCAGTCTCCGGCAACAAACGATTTCGAGTTTTACTTATAGTATTTCCAGCAATTGAGAATGCCTCTTCTGATGGAACACTAGTTGCTTGAATGGTGAGATAATCTCATGCCATATTACTTAAAACTGGATATTCTTTTGCATGTGCCTGCCACCATAATAGAGGCTCTGTTTCATCATCTATTGGTAATGCTAGATAGCAATCTAACTCTGATAGTGAATGTGTTGGAGCAATCTGTGGTGTAGTTGAATTACATCGAAGTTGAGTGAAAAATTGACAAGTTGTATTTGTGGTGGTGGATGATGATAGTCTTCTTCCAGAAGATTGTGTGTTAGGAGAGTGCCTCTGGTATGTTTCAAATTTTGTTCAAATGTGTCCACAAGCCATTTGATGGTTTTCTCCTGAAAAATTCATGAGCTTAGTTCAAGGATCTAAGATTGCTGAAATGATTGAAGAACGATCCATAGTTTGCCAATACTTATCAATTTTTTCAAGTATTGAAGAAGCCATTTCATCCTGCGTGAAACCTTCCACTCTTATTTGATCATTTAAATACACCTGGATACCTTCAAAGACTAAACAAACATCACCCATTGTTGGATATGATGATGCTGAAAGGTGCTTTGTAGCTTCTTCTAAGGGTTCAAGAAGTAACATAGTATCCTATAAATATGATGAAGATTAGAGATGTGATCCGTGGATATCCGTCATCTGTTCATCCGTCATTTATCTCAAAAAATCAATCCATCATCCGTTAATTGCTCAAAAAATACATCCGTTGGATTCAAACGGATTATCCGGATCATCCGTGAAATTGAACGGATCATCCGGATTGTACGGATCATCCACGGTTTGAACGGATAATTCAGCAATATTAGTATAAAATGTTACAAAAAGAGTAGTTAATGCTAATAATTTATGACAATTTTCAGTGGGTGAATACATTCAACACAACTTGCATTTCTTTTTAAAAACAAAATTCATTTAATTAAATTTCCTGTGGATCCATCTGTTACATAACGTTTTTTACAAGTCTTTTCAGTTGTAATTGGTACTTGGC